CTTCATAACGTTTTCAGAAGCACATGAGCAACTCAAATTTCCAATGTGGTGGGAGGGCCATAACTGGCCTGAACCTGGCCTGCCCCACAAAGGAAAGACCATTCTTCTCGCTGCTTCCCTCAGAAGACAACCCAGTTTGTACCCTTCTCTGAGCAACAAAGAAGAATCAGTTCATTATCACAAACTTAAAAGGGAATCAAAAAACAGCTCTATTACAAGCAATTGCTGAGCTGCCCCGGAAAAGAACAGTAAATGTGTTAGTATCTGTAATTGCCCACGTTCACAGAGAAAGCACAGAGGACACTCGCCACTGTGTGCGTTGATCTACACTGGATTAGCAGCACTGATAAGAGTGTATTGTGTGTTATCCTCACCATTAACATCAGTCTAGCCCTTGAAAACTTTTATGACTTTCAGAATGATAAATAACGTTTCAAGCACCAGATAATCTAAAATACAGCAAGTTTATGTGTTCCCCGAACTAGAAACATACACTGTTTGACACAACACCAGTCTAATCCAGTCCCATTCCACTCCTGTCTGTGCTCTTTCGCTACAGGTGTAATAAAGGGTGTGAGGCACTTGGGTTTGCACGCATGCTCAAAAGAGGGCAGCTACCACATCGGACTGCTTTAAACAGGCTCAACTTTGTAATGCAACTTTATTCCTCGACAGAATCGTAAATAAGATTTTTAAACTGAAATAACAGTGTTTAATTCCATTCAGAAGGAAAACATGTGGTTGCTTGCATGGTAATAAAGAGAAAAACTGGTGACAATATGTGATCTAAAACAAGGGTCCCCAACCTCTGGGCTGCGACAGGTACCGGTCCAGGCCTGTTAGGACCTGGGTCACACAGCAGGAGGTGAGATTGAATATAATGCACTTGAAGCATCCCAAAACCAGCCCTCACCCCCGACCTCAGTCCATGGAAATTTGTCTTCCACAAAACCAGTCCCTGGTGCCAAAACAGTTAGGGCCCAGTAATTTAAAATATCTTGTCCACTTTAGGTTGGTACGTGCCTCTCCCTCTACATTAACTGACATTATCCAAGAAGATGAATTCATGTCAGTGAGGCACTGTACATTTACGGTGGTGGGAGGAGGGGGTGGTGGTACAGGGAAGGCTGCTTAATAATGCACTATAATTTTTTTAAAAAAGACATACCTTCAAGAACTGGATAATATGACTACTCAGCAATCAGAAAACTAAGTTGCATGCATTTACAGGTGGAAGACATGTTTTCTACCACTTCCCTAACAACAGTCCTTTCTAATTCAAACATTCTACAGCCTTCCAGGTAATGTCTGAGATGTCTTAATACAAGGAAATCCAGCGATGCCAGAAAACAACCTCACCTGAGGAAACGTATCATGGCTATTCTGCTGAAAGTCAAGTTGACAGGAACTGATTTCCATCCCCGCCCTGCTGCCAAAGACCAAATCCACAGCATTTCACAAACACATTACTGTTTCCCACAAATACCCTTTATTTTTCCTCATGGTAACTTCCCACAATTCTGATTATGCTAAAATTATGTAACAATCATTCAAGAGCTTATGGTTTTATGTATGACACCAGTAGAGGGGGACACGTGACAAGAGCAGGAAGAGATGTGGACGGCAGAGGCACTCTTACCTGCATGATTGAGGCTGGGGTGGGGGCGGTGGTAGTGGTGCATTTGTCAGCTCAGCAAAAGGTCTATGAAATCACAAAGCAATGTGTAGCCGTTTCCTAGAGCCACCATAACAGGTTACCACAGGTTGGGTGGTTTAAAACCAAAAACATCATCTGCAGTCTGGAACCTGAAAGTCCCACACCAAGGCATTGGCAGAACTGGTTCCCCCTGGGGGCTGTGAGGGAGAATCTGTTCCATGCTTTTTCCCAGTTTCCAGCAGCTGACAGCAACCCCTGCAGTTCCCTGGCTTGTAGCTGCATGGACTTCATACAGAGACACAACCATGATGAATTTAGGGGCCAGCTTAATCCAGTGGGTCTTCATCTTAACTAGTTATATCTACAAAGATCCTACTTCCAAATAAGGGCATATTCTGAGCTTCTGGGTATACATGGATTTGGGGGGACACTGACCAACCCAGTACACAATGATATGCTCACATCTGAACTTCCTATATAAACTTGAAGTAGGTAACTGGACATTCACTCCACTGTCCTTGCTCACTGCTGTCTCCAATAACTGTGCGGCATTTGCAGGTTCTCCATCAGTGGAGAGCGATGAAGAGATGAACCTTTTGATGCAGGACCAGGGTCCTTCCCTGGCATGTGGACCTGCTGAATGACGGCATCTGCCTCTCACATAAACCCCCATCCACACCTCCAGAATCATTTCCTCTAACACAGGCCAAGAAGGTAAAGATGCTCTCAAGGAAATCTGAGTGCAGGACTCTTACTTTGTATAATCCTCCCCACACCCTTTACGCATTGTCACCCACAATGAATTCAATAGCCATTACTTTAATATACTCAACTTGCTTTGGTGACTTTCCAAAGACCCAACTTAGATTTAAAGAAATTGTGCTCTTTCCTTCCATATATAATCAGCTTATATGTAAGTACGAACTGGAATGAGTTTTAGAACAAACACAGATGACACTAGATAAGCATGCACATCACCTGATGGAAGCAGCAGAGCCCGGGAGTGCCAGCTGCAAACACTCCAGGCCCCAGGGTCTCTGTGGGTATGATTATGGGCCACAGGCAGCCCGGGCCACCAAAAGCCAGGTGCAAGGTCCAAAATGCAGTGAGTGACTGACTGGTGGGGGAAGGGACCAAGGTTAGGGTTAGGGTTTGGGGAAAAGATTCCCCCACACACAGGGATGATAAATATTCCTCTAATTGGCAGAACTCATAAGGCAGAGGCACGGATTAACCCAGCGTGCCTGCAGACCATGGGCTTTTTGGCATTGCCGCTGTCTGCAGTGCACAGGGAAGGTGGAGGTGGCTGTAGATGACGCAGGGCCTTCTCATCATCTGCCTGGTACTCTGGAACCTCACTGGTTAGTGCAAAGAACACAAACTAGAGAAGGGGCAGGGTGGGGGGAAAGACGGCCAGCTGGGAAACCTGCAGACATGAGTAGCCCCGTGGGCCTGCAGAGCAGCGAATGGAGCCAGGAGACAGCCAGGCTGCCCACCTGATAGGACGTGGGGACACAGAGACGTGGAGGCTAAGGGGAGGGGAGGTGGCTTTCTGGGACCTCCACGGACACCTGTCTGACCTCTCTGTGCTCCTGCAGAACTGTCTCCTCTGCCCAGCACGCCTTTCCTCCTGCCTGAGCGTCTGCAGGCCTGGGTACTGCACCTAGTGTCCTGGGAACCCACAAACAGCTGCAGAAAGGAGTGAGTGAATGTACACTTTGTGCCTTGAGAAGAAAAAGTGATGTAGGTGAGAAACAGCTAATAATCTACTTTGGGCTAAAGTAAAAGTTTTTTATTCAATATCCCAACCAAATGAGTAGGCAGGTATTTAATTGAGGCTTCTGGAAATATTGAAGAAAGGACTGACAAATGCCAGGTAGGGTATTTAACTCATTCGTTTACTGAATCACTATTAAGAGCCACAAACTCTTCTAAGTATCAGAGGGGTGAGGTCACGGTTCTGGGGTGAACCAAAAAAATGAAGTTTGTTAATTAAACACTAGGGAGAGTTATAATCACCATTTAAAAGTTACTTTTAATGCTATAACTTCCCAACTATAGTGTTATCTTTCTTGTTCCCATATTTTCCATATTTGGCTGGCAATACACACCAATAAAAAATAAAAAGAAGTTTGTGGGCTTGTTTCAGAAAAAAATCGAAAAACTGTTCCATAATCTGGGGGAAAAGGAATACAAGAGAGAAGACAAGTCAAAGAGAAACAGGTAAAACCCAAAGTAAAGGTTTTACTTTGCACGAAAAGCCACCCCGAGACCAAACCATAGACACGGAAATGTCAGTGCCACAGTCTTTGCGGCCCAAAGCGAGACTCGTGCCCCCCTACGCCTCTTCACAATGGGATGGGTTAGATGCCTGATTTGCAAAGCTTGCAGAAAGGACCTGTGAGTTATAACCCCCTTATTTCACTGCCTATTCTCCAGTAACTCATCAAGTGAAATTTGGTTCGACCTGAGGGGAGACCTGGAGTTCTCTCTGACCTCAGACTGCCCACAGGGAACAGAACCAGCTCCTCAGGAAGTAATGTGTATAATACACAGTGTGCAGCGAGGTGTCCCTGTGCCTTAGTGTCCGTTCCTCAGGACTCATGAGAAGCTGTTACTGAATGAACATCAACAGAGCATAGAATTTTCACTGATCCATCCATCATCTTCACCAGGTGACCAACCAGGGGAAGCGGGGCCCACCAGGTAAAGGCCGGGTGACACAGCATCTTCACAACTATTGTGGAGACCTCCCGCTGCGCCAGGCATTGCCTTTCTAGCTGCTGCAGGTCTCATGGGCCTGGTGGGGAGAGGCTGGGGCAGCCTGGGGACACTCAGGAGGGTAAGGCGGCAGCTATTTACCGGTAGTACGGAAGAATTCCTGTATTAGTAACTAGGAGAGGTAAACACCAACTCGACATTAAAGGCCTTAGCATAGGGGGTCAGCAAACTTTTACTGTCAAAAGCAAGACAGCAAAAATTTTAGGCTTTGCAGCTCAGACAGTTTCTGTCAGGACCACTCGACTCTACCATCATCATGCAAAAGCAGCCAGAGACAATGCAAGGGAGTAAATGCCTGGCTGTGTTGCAACATAACTACAAAAGCGGGTGGTGGGCCAGACACTGCCCACAGGCCATGGTCTGCAGCCCCTGCCTGACAGCACAACGGGGCTCGCAGTCCCACGGAGCAACCAAGTCTTCACTCTCACCTTATTGGCACCGTCTTGCAAACAGACTGAACTGGGCACCCAGGGTTCTGATGTGCGCACTTGGTCCTTACAGACCCCAAGACAGGGAGTCAAAGCCAGCAGTCAGAATGCCCCCCACAAATTAAGACACTCACCCAGAAAAATCCGTAGTGAGAATCCCATAGTGAAAGATGTATATTCTGCTGACATGGCACATCGTCAGGTATCCCATTGCGACAAAAAAGGAGTATCTGAAACCAAAAATGCACAAGATCTGATTATTACGCATTACAAGAATGTACTCAATCAATTTTCTCTTCTTCCTCCCTCTCACCCCCTCATTCACAATGTCACAAGGTCCTGTCTGGTCTGTGTATGTCCCAGTCCTCCCCAGCCCCCCACTGCTCTGAGCCCTTCATCTCGTCCCGCCTGGACCCCTGCAGTTCTCAACTTTGGCAGCATAACAGAATCAGATGGGGAACCGTAACAAACCACGGATGTCGGGGCCCCACCCCAGGTATTCAGGTTTAATCAGCACAGCGTGCACAGGGTGGATGTGACTCCAACGTGCAGCCAGAGCTGCTAACACTCACCTGTGAGGTCTTGCCCTCAGAGTTTCCCCTTCACAACCATCACATTTACACAATGACCTCTGCAAATAAAAATCATCACCGTGTGCCCACCACTCTTTTCCTGAAACACTTTGTTCTCTTGACTTTGATTCTCAACAAACAAATGGAAACATATACCGTGTTCATGGATTGGAAGAATTAACATCATCAAAATGTCCATACTACCCAAAGCAATATACAGATTCAATGCAATACCTATTAAAGTACCAATGGCGTATTTCACAGACATAGAACAAACACTTCAAAAATTTATATGGAATCATAAACGAGCCCGAATAGCAGCGGCTCTTTTGAGAAAGAAGAACAAAGTAGGAGGGATCACAATACCTGATACCAAACTGTATTACAAAGCCACTGTAATCAAAACAGCCTGGTACTGGCATAAAAACAGGCACATAGACCAATGGAACAGAACAGAGAGCCCAGAAATCAACCCAACCCTCTACAGTCAATTAATATTCGACAAAGGGGGCAGTAACATAAAATGGAGTAAAGATAGCCTCTTCAGCAAATGGTGTTGGGAGAACTGGACAGCTATGTGCAAAAAAATGAAACTTGAGCACCAACTTACACCATACACCAAAATAAATTCAAGGTGGATAAAAGACTTAAATATAAGCCGTGACACCATTAAAGTCCTAGAGGAGAACATTGGCAAGAAAATCTCAGATATTTCACGCAGCAACATTTTTACAGATATGTCCCCTAGAGCAAGGAATATAAAGGAAAGAATAAACAAATGGGATCTCATCAAAATAAAAAGCTTCTGCATGGCTAAAGAAAACAGTATTAAATTAAAAAGACAACCAACTGTATGGGAAAACATATTTGCCAATGATACCTCAGACAAAGGTTTAATCTCCAAAATATACAAAGAACTTACACGACTCCACTCTAGGAAGACATCGAACCCAATTAAAAAATGGGAAAAGGACTTGAACAGACACTTCTCTAAAGAGGACATACAGAATATCCAGAGACACATGAAGAGATGCTCAATATCGTTAGCTATCAGAGAGATGCAAATTAAAACCACAATGAGATACCACTTTACACCAGTCAGGATGGCTATAATAGACAAAGCAACCAACAACAAATGTTGGAGAGGGTGTGGGGAAAAGGGGACCTTAGTTCACTGTTGGTGGGATTGCAGACTGGTACAACCATTATGGAAAACAGTATGGAATTTTCTCCTTGTTTTCTTCACACCTCTTTGGTTCATTCTTCCAAGGCTCTTGCTCAGCCTACCTTTCTCCACCTACTCCTTAGGTGTTAACATTCCTAGTGCTCTGCCTGCCCATGCCTGAGACTTACCACCTACTCCATATCACCCTGTATCACCACCCTATAGTATAACTGGCCATACACACACACACCCCTGCCACTCAGAACATCCATCCATGTGTAATTATAGAGATGTGAAAATCTCATTAACTATCTCCCTTGCTGGACTGAAAACTCCATGGAGGCAAGGATGACATAAATGTGCTTTGTGTGTGTTGAATGAACAGTTAACTAAGTAACAGATACTTGTCTTAAAGGTCTCCAAGGGTCTCACTGACTAGTTACATAAAAACTCCTGATCTCAGCATGCAAGGCGCTTCCCACACTAAGCTCTACTTCGCCTTTTTGCTCTCATCTCCGGCCACTCTCCGCGTCCACCATGTGTTCCAGCTACACCAGACTGCACACACCCCACAATTACGTCCTGCATTTTCAGGTCAGATATTTTTCTGCAAGCTCCTTCCTCTGCCTGCAACTCCCTTCTCCATCCTGGCATCTATCTGGGGATTGTCTCTCTATAAGTCAAGTCTCAGCTCCAGTGCCACTTGGCTTGGCCTTGCTCCATCCATTCATGCCATCCCCACTCCCAGCACAATTCACGGCCCCACTGCCTGTATCTTTCTAGTGCTACATAAGGCATACGTAATTATAATATTAGAACTATAAGTGCTAATTTCCCCAACTCACTGTGACCTTGAACATCCCAACCTTTGACCTAACACATGAGAGGTTAACTGTTAGTTGAAATAAACTAAAATGAATACATTAAACATTTAAAATGACTCAGGAACCCATCAGAAACACGCATTCAGAAGGCGTAAATTTTAAACATGTATATTCTGATGTTAAATTATCTTGAAATACACAAATTCACATCAACAGAACTCATAAAGGCTAGATCAGCATAAGGAATAGTAAACAGTAGGAATAATAAAAATCCATTTGGTAACGAGAGGAGCCAGATAAGGAGTGCAAAGAAGTTCTACACATGCTAACACACTATATAAAACTTTACATTCTCTTTCCCATCATTTGCAAAGATTGCCCCCTATTGGGTTCATCCGCAACCCTTTCCAAACCAGAAGGTGGTGAACAAAGCCAATGACTAAGAAGAAACCAACTCCCTTCAGAGCTGACGCAGAAGCTGAAATAGGAGTCGGGCCGGCTGGCCTCCAGCACACGTTCCCTTTCGCAGCCAGTTCCTGGAGGTCAAGGCAGAGAAGCACAGAGCACATTCAAAAGACAGGTTCTTCCAGGGCCCTTTCAAGTGCAGCCGTGCCTGCTGCTTCCTCTTTCCCCTCAGAACGAAAAGCGAGTTCTGTGCAATTGCTATACTCAGAGCTGCCTGTCGAGGACGGTGCCAAGTGCTGTGCCCCAATAAATAAAGCAATGCATTCAAGCCCCGGACAAACCTGAAAAATCTAAGGAAACATGTACTCTGGAAACACACCAACACGGGTTCAAATTCCAACCCTGGCAAAACTAATCTGTGGTGTGACATATCAGGACAGCAGTTACCTTAGTAAGGAGGGCTGTGGGAACCACTGGGGCAGGTGGTGCGGTGACATCCCCTTTCCAACTGGGCATGCGTGTGTGAGTATATGCACTGTGAAAACGCATCACAGGGCACACCTGTTTACCTCTCCGAGTCTCATTTCCTCATCTCAGGGGAAAAAATCTATGTCCCATTGTGTCGTTCTAGAACAAACACATTTGCAATAATAAGATTTCAATTTTCTTGAATTTGTTGAGGTTTGTTTTGTGTCCTATCATGTGATCTATCTTTGAAACTGTTTCACGTAAATTTGAAAAGAATGTTATTTTGCTTCTTTGGGATGAAAGGTTCTGTCTATCAGTGAAGTCCATTTTGTCTAGGGCATCGTTCAAAGCCACAACATCCTTGTTGATTCTCTGTTTGGAAGATCTGTCCATTGTTGACAGTGGGGTGTTAAAATCCCCTACTATGAGTGTGTTGCTGTCAATATCTTTCTTGAAGTCCTCCAAGATTTTCTTTATGTATTTGGATGCTCCTATGTTGGGTGCATATATGTTTACAATGCTTATGTCTTCTTGATGGTTTCTTCCCTTGAGTGTTATGTAGTGACCTTCTGGGTCTTGTTTTATGGCCTCTGTTTTGAAGTCTATTTTGCCTGATCAAAATATTGCTACCCCAGCTTTTCTTTTCCTGGTCATTTGCTTGGAATATTTGTTTCCAACCCTTCACTTTCAGTCTGTGTAGGCCTTTTGGAACTGGAGAGCATTATGCTGAGTGAAATAAGCCAGGCACTTAAAGACAAATACCATATGGTCTCACCTATAAGTAGAACCTAATCAACAAAATAAACAAGCAAGCAAAATAGAGCCAGAGACAGTGAAATACAGACAAACTGGCAATAATCGGGGTGGGGAGGATAATGGGGCAAAAAAGGGGAAGGGTATCAAGGAACAGATATAAAGAACCCAAGGGTGAAGACAACGGGTTGAGGGGGAGGATTGAATGTGGGAGGTGGGGGTGGGTAGGGCAGGGGAGAGTAATGGGGACAAATGGGGGCAACTGTAATTGAACAATGACGAAAACAAAAATAAAAAAAAAAAATAAATGATACACTAAATAAGAGTTTACATATTAAAAATAAGGAAACCTAATATATTTAAAAGATCTTGGCCTGGCACTTGGCACAAAGCAGGTCCTCTGAAACTGGCCTCTGTCCTGGGAGACACCAACTACATTCTGCTCCTGTTGGTTCCTATGTGGCACATTAATGCCCAGGACTTCTGCCCAACATGGCGGTCTGGGAAGGAAACAGGTGACACCCCAGGGATTCTCTGGATGAATCCTGAATAACAACGGTCAGTCCAGAAATGGATTCGTTCCACGTGGCAGCAAACACTAACCGTCCCCTCCACATCCCAGCCATATGACAGAACTGTTAAAACTGGCTCAGTAAAAAGAACAGGACAATTCACAAAATATCATGAAATCCTGGTCTTGAGGAGAACTTAAGTGCGAACTACCACAAACCCCACATTTGACAGGAGGGAAATCAGAGGCACGGAGAAGCTGCGTCACCCTTCTGAACACACACGGCTGGAAAGAGCCGGGTTTCCTGACTGCGGTCTCCTGCTCTTTCCCGCATCAATAGGAAACAACTCCATCGTCTGAGAACTGAACCACTCCCTGCTTCAGCAGTACTGGCAACCACACAAGCAAAGAAAGAGAAAATCTTTTTCTGGCATCCTTTCTTTTTGGTCTTATGACACAGCCCTCTGATACCACAATATTACCGCCTCTCTGTAAAGTTCCACTCTGCCGAGGCTGCAGTCGCCCATTCCTGGCTGGACACCCACACAGAGACCCTCAGGGGCCCTGGCACAGGGCTAGTGTGCCCGTAAGTTCTTCGCCCTCCAAAGAATGGACCACACCCCATCAGCATCTTACAAGTGTGGGCAGAGCTGACAAATTACAGTTTGTAAGGAAATGTCCTGAAGAGATGGAACAACAGTTTTATTCATCATTTCACTGTTTCCAAAATCAAGTTTGGAAAAAGCCAGCTATTTTCACCCTACTTTTTAAAAAAAAACATTTTGTCATAATACAAAGCATGTCTGAAACCCATTCTTTCCAAATTAGAAATACGGGTTTCCTATTTCCCCTCCAAATGAATGACACGCTCTCCCTCTAGGAGGGCACTTAGAAGAGAGCTGATTGGGATTCAAATTTTCAGAGCTCATTTGCATACTAATTTGAATAACTATACATTAAAAGCATAAAAAAATATTTTCCCTTGAAAACCAGAAATTTATCTGAAGTCATTACAAGACCATGCACTGACAAGTTAAACTTCGTTGACTTTAAGAAGAAAAACCATTGTGCTATAATAATCTTACTAACCAAAGAGCTTTCCAAAGCCCAAATGCAGCATCTGCTTTTTCAGAGACATTGTCAGAAAAGTCTTAGTCATTCATTCCATAAATATTTGTTGAGGCTCTACTTGCGCCAGGCTTTGTTCCAGGCTCTGAGGATACAACAGTGAGCGAGAGAGAAAGGTCTGTGTTTTCACAGAGCTCACATTCCAGGGTCACTGACCGGCAGAACCAGGGCTGTGGTTTCCGAAAGACCCTGGAGACAGAGCCAGTGCAGAAGAGATGCCCCAGCTACGTTAACTGATGGTCTAAGCACGTAGCCTCGAGGTGGAATGAAATTACTTCTGTACTTTGAAATCAAAATATCACAGTAAAAATATTTCTTCTTTGTTTAACAGTTTCAGTACATACAGTTAAAGTAGAAAAAGTTCTGACAATTACACATGTACCAAGAAAACCACAGCCCAAGGCAACATAACAGACATACATGTCCATCACCCCCAAGTGTCTTCCTGTCTTTGGGATCCCGGTCACAACCCCCTGCACCACTCCGCCCCTGGGAACCTCTGATCTGATTTCTGTTGCTATAGATTAGCTTGCTTTTTGAAGAATAGAATTTGTGTGGCTTCCTTCACTCAGCATATTTATTTGAGATTCATTCATGTCACTGTGTGGACCAATCATTCATTCCTTTTCGCTGCTGAGTGGTATTGCATGATGGGGACCATTTGGGTTATTTCCAGTCTAGAACTAACGCAAATAGAGCTGCCTAATTCTGATACAGTGTCTTTCACCTGAGACCCAAATTGCACCCCACCTTTTTTGTAAAGCTTTCTCTAAAGACTCCCAACATTTACAGTTCCTTACCTCTCCTGATACCCCAGAGAACCTAGGGTTTGCCACGTGCGGCATACGGAAACAGCACTCCTTCCCCTGGAAACACATTTCAGAGGTCATGAATAACCTCCCCTTGCACTATTCATTCCCATGGTCTTACCTGTGAATATTGGACACACTTGCAGCGACCATGATTCCATAGCACACTAACACCAGCACAAACAGATGCGCAGAGTACCTGTAAGACACGTGAGGAAGAGGAAAAACAGTGAATGTGTTTCACATTCACATACTTACTGACTACCGTACTGATACTCCACCTCCACCCCACCAAAAAGCAAGTGATTAGTTAACTCATGTTTATGTAAAAGGAAATAAATCAAGCATTTTTGTTCTGTAGAATTAAAAACTTAGCTTGAAAGGATACGAGGAAGCCACCGCACAATCTGCCAGCTGCAGCCCCGGTAAAGCCAGGAATCGTACACGGGTGCTTATGCTTCTTCACAGACACAACTGAGAGTCCAGAAGAGAGTTCTTTCCTTCTTCGGGACTTGTTTTCCCCAATTTTAAAGTACCAGGACCACTAAGCTGTCCCAGATACCATGACTTTTACCTGTTTTGGTGACTGACTCAAAATACTCATCAATCTTGCCCAAATTTTATTTGAAAGAGTAAGAGCAGCATTCTAGTGCCCTGAGCAAATTCACAAGTTTCCTTGAGTTGTACTGCTAGAAATACGGGTTTGTAAAGCTTCTTCCTCCAGGAGCGCCACTCCCAAGGTCCTAACCCACGTACGTAGCAGACAAAGGTCCAACCCACACGTCTGCTTTGTTCGAGAATGACGCCCATGCCCCAGGACCAGCTGTTTCACTCCACGTGCAGGACAAACCCAACGCCTCCAGCGGTGATACAAGAACAAAACCTGTGTCCATAACATTTAGGGATGCTTCCTTGTCAGGAAAATGAAACCTTATAAAAATCCATTTTGCCCTGGCTGGTGTAGCTCAGTGGGTTGAGTGTGGGCCTATGAACTAAGGGATCGCGGTTTGATTCCCAGTCAAGGCACATGCCTGGGTTGCAGGCCAGGTCCCAACAGGGGATGCACGAGAGGCAACCATACATTGATATTTCTCTCCCTCTCTCCTTCCCTTCCCCTCTAAAGATAAATAAATAAGATCTTTTTAAAAATCCATTTATATAACCCAGGAGACCAAAACAGTGCAACTTCAAGAAAAATTCACCAAATTGACTTTAAATGGGTAGTCAAATTTATTGATTCCAGGTTCTTACAGTAACTGTAAATTTCTTCAACATCCCCATTATTTTCAGTACATACATATTTCCTTCCTTAGAACCTGGGAAATGCCAAGAATACTGCCACAAAACACCCAGATGATAACCATTAGAATGTATGAGGCTCCTACTCACCAGCCAAAACAAAAGATGATAAAATAGATGCCAAAAATGGTGGCAAACGTGTGCCGGGCCACGGGACTGGTTTTACCAGGACGTAAGTAGATGCGAAACCAGAAAGCAGCACATAAAGCCACGAGCTGGCATGCCACAAAATTCACCTGTAAGGGAGAAGGGAGAAGGAAACAAACCTTTACTGTTTGGCCTGTGTGAGAATGTTCTTGACATTTTTCAGATTCCCACATCAAGGTGCGTCTCAGACCAGGACCTTTCCGTAGTAGAGTGTTCACCTGGGGAGGAGCGAGGGACCGCAGGGAACTGTGCCCGCCTTGACTGCTTCAGGAAGTGAGCAGCCCGAAACAGCAGACCTCGTTTTACTGACTTCACTTTACTGCGCTTCACAGGTCCTCATTTTTTGCAAACTGAAGGCAAGACCCTCCACCAGCAAAACTCATGCCTCACTTTATTGCTATACTTGTGTTTTTATGTAGGTCTGGAACCAAACCTGAAATATCTCCTGTAGTTTCTTTTTTTAATTCTTCAAGACTGGCCAAGGTTGCTTTCCCACCCACAAAATGTGAGTTAATGTAAACCCTTTAGGTGACTGTGAGGTCAGTTTGCTGGGTCTCTTCCTACCAACCCTGGCATCATCCTAAAATAAAGAATATGTTCTTTTAGAGATAAAAATGAATCAGATACAAGAGGCTTCCCTCATCTGGTACCTAAGAAATCAAATACTTCTTCAAAGTAATCATCACCTGTCCCATGACTCTAATTTTTCTCATTTTAAATTAACACCCAACAAGCAAGAGCAGTGCTCAAATTCAAGGTGAGGCACTAAAGATCAAAAAAGCAACAGCCCTGCATTACACTTTCAATGTCAATGCTGTCCAGTTATGCCAAGTTGGCACCAGACTTCCCTAGAAAAACCTCAGTGATCTATCTATCAAAAATATTTCCCCTAACAGAAAATATAAAATAATTCCCTGACACCTACAAAAAGAGCAGCTGACTTAACACAAATTCAAAATACATTAAGTGATATAGCAGTCAATGAAAACTGGAAAAGTTGCTTAATCTTTTCAGAGTATTCTGAATGAAAACTTCAGTATCAATTTGCTTTTAGGGGACACTTATTTGAAAAGGGATTGAGAATATGAATATCTGAATAGACCCTCAGCCTGGGCAGTTTTCCATGCTATAGAAAGCTACAGCTGTAAAATTCATGAGGGCTGGGCTCCGAGGTAGCACCAGAGGTGGCAGACACCACCTCCCCTGAGGTCATTTTGGTTTCCTAATGAAAAACAAGAATACTGTGGACCCCTTCTAATTCATAGAAAATAATACTTTCCGAGAATTTTTTGTTCTTTTTAAAAAATGGGTTGTGCTGTGTTTCCCCTCCATTTGAAGCTCATTGTTCATCAGTCTTCCCCAAAACCTATTTCCCCTACTGCCCACCCCCACTTCATACCCTGAAAGGCACAGAGGAGGTGAGCTATATATGATCCTAGCCTGCATAATATTAGTCATGTCTTTTTATATAGCCTAAATGCACAACCCTGAACACACACAAAAAAAATACAGAGAAAAATAACCATCTTAGCAGTCTCAAAATGTAAAGGAATTGGAAAATGGCAAGGCAAAATAACAGTCTTCGGCAGGTCATCAATCAGATGTTCTTTCATTCTCTCACTCCAGGGTCCAGCCTGCAGCCACGGCAGAATATAGTTACTAAGGAAAGGACCAAGGGAAAATTGGCTCCAGTCCTTTTGGGTGGATGGTCATTACCGACCATCCCTAAACCTGATTATAGAGCAGTGGTTCCCAAGAGGCTGATAGTCCCTGGACCACCAGCAGGAGCATCTACCTGGAAACATGTTTGTTAGAAGTGCAAATTTTCAGGACCCACCTAAGACCAACTAAATTAGACATCCCAAGGATAGGTGCAACAATCTGTTTCAACAGCATTCCCCCAAGTAACTGTGATGTACACTCAAGTTTGAGAAGCACTGGAATAGAAGAGAAAGAAGGAGTGTCCCTGCCATCAGGACCATGGTGTTCTAACTAGAGAAAGAACACAAGTGATCGTAAATTAATATGATAATAACATTGTGTGAATTTGCTACACTGTATGTCCTTTAGATTCTAAGTCACAGGAGGGATGAGACTCAGGAGGACAATAAGAAATACTGTTGAAACAGATAAAGATCAAGGGGGAGTTAAAGACACTAAAAATACTGCTGCCGGGGTCCTACCCACAGTACTTCTGACTCAATAGGCCTGACATCAGGACTCTTCAACACATTCAGCTTATTCTACTATGCAGGTAAGATGGAGACTCCTAGTTCGGAAGTTTAAAGACAGAGACCTACAGAGGCACCCACAAGAAAGTGGGCTTCCCCAGAATGAGGAAAATCACAAATAAAAGACAGGGAGGATTGCATTGTGAAAGCTTTGGGGTGGGATGAGATGGAACAAATTTAGGAGTGAGCAAAGCCCAAAGGCCATCACTCAGCCAGCCCAGACCGCCTCAGCATCCTGAGAGTCTCCCGAACTGTGTCTGCCTTCTGTAAGACCCCTTTAAACCTACCTCCAAGGAAGAGACAGCCTTACCATGGGAAGACTACACCTAGTCTCGTCACCCCAGAGATGGAAAGAAAAAAGAAGAGTCACTGGGTCGTTGAAGCAATCTGCCATTTTTAGGCATCATAATATAATGTGTAGCCAACTGAATGCCCTAGTTCTGACATTAAGACGTCAGCTGGGCATTTCTCGGTGATTCACTGATTAATTCTGCAAACATCTACTGTTGGACTCTATATACCAGATGCTGGGGACTGGGGGCAGCAAGCAAGACACTGTCACTACCTTAAGGCAAGGAGAGAAGACTTGCATGCTCTGGGTTTCGATTCAATTCCTTCCTTTCTTTCTTTCTTTTTTTTTTCTTTTTTCTTTTTCTTTTTCTTTTCTTTCTTTCTTTTTTTTTTTTTTTTGCGTGCAAACTGTGTCTTTGTGAGAACTGGTCTCTAATGTCTCTTCCAGCTCAAAGGGTCTATGATTCTATATCCAACCCGAATCCTTTCCTTTAACTGTTCATGGTAAATGCCCAAACCCAAGACTTCGTTACGGATTAAAAGCTTCCCCCTATGCACAGACACAGCCCTCCCCACCACCCTCTACCCTGGAGTGAGTTACGGAGGGCTAGCTGAATGTGCCACAGCGAACTGTTCCAAGGCGAAAGTCGAAACACCCACAGCACCACTTAACTCCAGCGAAAGGTTCCATCGGAACCCTTCTGCAATGACCAGATATACATCTTACAAGGTACAGGCCAAAGCAAAATTAGATACCATTTCATATCCATCAGAATGACTATTATTTAAAAAACATACTAATAAGTGTTGGCAAGGATGTGGAGAAATTAGAACCCTTGTACACTGCTGGTGGGAATGTAAAATGGCACAGCCACTTTGGAAAACAGTGTGGCAGTTTTTTAAAAAATGAAAAATACAACTGCACATGATTTAGCAATCCCACTTCTGGGTATATACCCCCCCAAATCAAAACAGGATCTTAAGTATCTGTACACCCATGTTCTTAGCAGCATTGTTCACAATAGCCAAAAGGTGGAGGCAATCCAGATGCCCATCAACAGATGAATGGATAAACAAAATGTGGTATATACACACAGTAGAATATTATTCAGTCTTATAATGAGCAAAATTCTGCCACATGCTACAACATGGAGGAACCTTGAAGACACTTTGATAAGTGAAACAAGCCAGTCACAAAAGGACAAATAGTGTATAATTCCACTTATATGAGGCAACTAAAAGTAAAATTTACAGAGACTGAAAGGAGAATGGTGCCCTGCAATAGAATGGGTGGGGGGGTGGGGTTATGATTTAACAGGTGCAGAGTTTCAGTTGTACAGGTGAAGAATTCTGGAGGTGGATGGTGGTGATGATTGCACAACACTGTGAATTTACTTGATGCCTCTGAACTGTATGCTTAAAACAATGTAAAACTTTCCATTTTAACCTATGTACATTTTACTAAAAAAAAATTTTAAGTGCAGGCTGGACAGTGACACCAAATTCTTTGTGTTCTCCAGCCTATGTGAACTCTAGCAGCTCACAGAAACCACGACCATCTCTGTGGCCATGAGTGGCCAGCTGCCATAGCAACAATTCACACAGGAACAGAACTAGATCTTTGCTCCTTTCCTCTCTCTAAGGGCCACTGATTAGCACTTGCTATTAATATAATTCTATACCTACTGAATTGATACACAAGTTGTGCACAGAATAATCTCGATAAGCAGTGACTAGGGTGGAGCGGTTGAGAACCGGCTTCCTGTCTCCTCCTGGCCACCCTCACACTGACCCCCTTCCGGGCCCACCTTCAGACCACTGCCGGACTTTCCCATGGGTCCTTCTTCCCCAGAGAGGGGCAATGCAGTCGGGACAAAGAGCCAATCACTGAGTTTTCCAGCCCCTAAAGTGGAGTTTTAGAGACTTGATCTAAAGCACAAGTAAATCTGAAAGTTAAAGCAGTCTCTGAAAATGTAGGAAGGACATATTTTTCTCTTCAATTCTAAAAACTTGTCTTCATAGATCAAAAGCAAAGCTGACAAATTTAAAGCATAGAGTTTCAACCATAATCATGGATGGAAGAAAAGCTCTTAATGATGGAAGAGCTATTTTTCTGCACAAAAATCAATGAAGGGTTTTTGCCAGGTTACTGCAGGAGGGACCCAGGGGGCTGAGACCTGGGGTGGAGAGGTGAGAATGGTGCCTGGTTTTTCAGAAGGCAGCCCAGGGAGCCAGCCAACCCTGCAGAGAAGCACTGCTTCCAGAAGGCTGGGTGACCAAGTACACAGACCTGGGCACCAGCCAGGCTCTGGGAACAGCAGAGAGGCCGGTGAAAAGCCAGCAGGCCTGAGAAGGTTCTGATGGTGGACTGAGGAGAATACTCACTGTGAACCTACCACATGGAGCCATGGAAGGGACTGTGGGAAACAGCAGGTGATGCAGTGTCAAGAGGCCAGCTTCCTAGACCACAACAACAGGCTCCTCTAAGCAGAGGCCAGTGGGGGCACAGGGACCCGAGGCCCTCACCTAGGACTCAAAGGTCTGGAGACCCCTCAGGGATGAGCTCA